CCGCAACTTGAATTAAAAAAAAAATACATATATTCCTTAGTAAATATGAAAATCAAAACATTCATGCACATTTCTTAGCAGCCTGGTACGGGTTTGGTGGGTGGTGAAGCAAGATATGGATCCAAGTGCAACAAGAAGCCCCCCGTCTACCCTGCTGTAAAAAGATAATAATAATATTATCGACTATTGTTTAGAAAAAAAAAAATTGTTCACGCGCACTTCTTAGCTGCCACATTTTGGGTTTTGCGTGTGGTGCAACTTGATGTGGAACCAAGCCCGGGGGGTGCGGAGCCCCTGCCCCCCCGCAACTTGAATTAAAATAAAAAATACATATATTCCTTCATATATATGAAAATCAACACATTCATGCGCACTTCTTAGCGGCCTGGTGCGGGTTTGGTGGGTGGTGAAGCAAGATATGGATCAAAGTGCAACGAGAAGCTCCCCGCCTACCCGGCTGTACAAGAAAATAATCATATTCTCGACTATTGTTTAGAAAAAAAAAAATTGTTCATGCGCACTTCTTAGCTGCCACATTTTCGGTTTTGCATGTGGTGCAGCATGACGTGGAACGAAGCCCGAAGTGGGGGGAGGGGGGCGCCACTTGAATCATAAAAAAAAATACATATATTCCTTAGTATATATAAAAATCACACTTTCATGCACACTTCTTAGCGGCCCGGTGCGGGTTTGGTGGATGGTGAGTCAAGATCTTGACACAATGTTTATGATTGACTAACCTCTCTGCTCTTTTACGTGCGGGCATTGCCCGCACCGCCCGCACCGCAGGCGCTAAGGTAGTGTAAGTACGAGAGAAAAAAAATTGTTTGCAACGTGCTATTTAATGATAACAGAGTGCAGGTGTAGATAATCAATCAATCAATCAATCAATCAATCAATCAATGGTGAGCCATCCAATGCTGGTCTGCTCCGATACCAAACTGTTGCATACTCGTGAAAAACAGTCATAAGTATGGCGCAGATTCCCAGAACCGACCAGAGAATACAGAGTTAATACAATTGCAAGCGAGAGACTTGAGATACCTTGGACTGACTCGGACCTGACTTGGACTGCAATCAAACACTCTCAAACATTCATCAGAGGTGTGCAAGCCCTAGCCTTAGACATAGACGAAAGGCCAGGGGCTGAGATCATCCACGGACGAAGGGAGAGAGGAGAGAGACGAAGGGAGGAGGAAAGAGAAGATGACGTCAACTCAGTGTTTCCAAAGATGTCAAAAATCCGAAATGTCGCGAATACAGTATCCGGCAATGCCTCAGATATCGATCCCACAATGTCATGTACATCTCCGGAAGAAGATGAAATCAGATCCCATCCGTAGTCCTCAACCTGTAGTCCCAATGTCGATGTCTTCAAATGTCATCAGGATTCGTAACCATCCTTCATACTGTAGTAGTCCCGTAGGAGAACCCAGAAGTAGACTTAGACTGAGAAGGTAGGAGGAGAGAGAGAGAGAGAGGGAGAGCAAGGGGGTGGAGGAATAGAGGGAGAGAAGGCACAGCCTTCCTCCCGGTACCTAATCCGGTGTTATGGCGCGGCAGGGCCGCCGTGCTGTCCTTTTCGCCGTTGTGCTGCCTCCTTCTCGCTGATCGTACTAACGCTGCTGGCGCTGCGCTAGTACTGCTAACGCTGTAATGCTGCGCTCATCCTGAAGACTAACCTCTAGCTTCTAACCTCCCTACTGAGGCTGGTACCCAGCCTTTTGTAGTGCAGGGCCGGCCTCCTACCTGCTGGTACCTAGCCTGGACCGTTGATCTGAATCAACGGTCCAATTTCGAAACTAGATTTGGCGCCTAAAACTCGGCAGCCTCTACAGTGCCGCCGGTAGGTCCTATGTTGGACCGGTACCGGCCTGGGCTTTTACCCCTGGCCTGTCTGAACCGCCGTGGTCCAAGCCTTTCTAGGCCTTATCTGAACCGTCGTCCCTTAGGCCTACCCTGCCTCTCTGGAACCGGGCCCTAACTGGGGCCCGAGTGGCTCAGAATGCCACACCGGTAGTGCTCTGCTGTACAGCAGGGCGCCGAGCCTGTGTGGACCAATGGAAAGTCCAGCGACGCACCCACCCTTTGCCAGTGCTAGCATTGATCGGACCTGGTTCCACGGCGGAGGTACATGAGCGGACACTTGGTACGCAGCAGAGGTACGCGAGCGGGCACTTGGTAAACAGCGGAGGGTCGGGACACCGCGCCCTCCAACAGCGCGCCCGCGTGTGTGTGTGTGTGTGTGTGTGTGTGTGTGAGGGAGGGAAGGGCGACCCCTTCCCTAACATTCAATCAATCAATCAATCAATCAAAAAAAAAAAAAAAAGTAAAAAAAAAAAAACAG